TCTGGAAATTTTACCTGATTTTCAGTAATATATTTAAAATATGCTTTCTTTTACATTCCTCTTGCTCCCAAATCCCAAGTACTATTTGCTTTTGAATGGGGAGAATTAAAGTCTAAAGCCAAATGCCAGTATTGCTAGACTATCCTCATTCAGAGGTTTAAAAAACTCCCCAATGATCTTCAGAAAAATTCTGGCCAGAGATTTGAGGGAAATATTTTTAGGCAAGGAAATGATTTTACAGTATGTAGATGATACCCTGATAGCCAGTGAGACTGAAGCTGAATCAAGGCAACACGCTGTAATCGTATTAAATTTACTTGTTGACATAGGATACAAAGCCTTTCAGAAAAAGCTCAGATCTCACTTCCCACTGTCAAATACTTGAGGTTTGAATTGTCTTTTGAAACTCAGAACCTCCTTTCAGATGTGAGGGAGGCTGTAAATCGAACAGCAATCCATACCACCCACAAGGAGTTATAAGGATTCTTCCGTACGACTGGGTTTTGCTAGATTTAGATTCCTTACTTCAGGCTAACAGCAAAACCTCTCTATAAAGCCTTAAAGGGGAAAGAAAAAGAACTACTTACTTGGATCAGGGAATGCAACAAGGCTTTCTTGACTATTAAAAAAATTGATGACTGACCCTGTATTGGGCCCCTGGACTTACATAAGCCTTTTGATTTCTTCATTCAAGAAAGACAAGGAATTGGGCTCGGAGTATTGACACAAACTTTGGGGGAGCATAAGCAACCTATTCTTATTTCTGTAAGCAATTGGCGGTGGTAACGAAAGGATGGGCCACTTGTCTGAGAGCAGTGGCTGCTACTTATGATATTTTACAGGAAGCTGAAAAGTTTACATTTGGACAACTGGCGACTGTTCACTCCATGCATTATGTATTACCCCTACTGGAAGGAACATAAGGGAGGCTTTTGGTTAATGGCCAGTGGCCAGATGAGTAAATACCAGGCCTAATGTAACTGTGAAGGTGGTGTCCATCCTTAATCCAGCCACCTTGCTGCCAATGGACTGTCATTCCTCATTCTATGATTACATTCAGATTATTGACAAAGTGTATTCTCATCTCCAGGATTTGACTGATCAGCCCCTGTCAGACCTAGATGAGGAGCTCTTTACAGATAGAAGCAGCATTACAGAACAGGGACAATGCAAAGCTGGGTATCCTGTGGTTACTGGCCAAAAGGTTATTGAGGCATAAGGGATGTCTGAAAACATGTACCCTGTATGTCTAGTTTGTCCTTTGGGGATTTTCATTTGCCTGGCAAGACAACTCTTTAGTTAAGATCTCTCAATCTATTGCTTCTTCCACTAATCTATCTCACTGCTGGATTAGCTACCTAAAACTCTTTTCATGAATGACTAGGGAAATTTTAGGGTGGAGATTCCATCTAGGGAACACTGGGCTGATATTTCCTAGCAGGGATCCCAGAAAGGGATGAGTATTTCTTTTGATATACTTTACTGCCTTGGTGGGGAGAAGGTGGCAACTCAACAACATGTACTAAAAAGTTTCAGCAACAAGCCCAACATTTTTATTCTTCCTCACACCCCAACTACATCCCATTCCAGCAGAAAGCAGCCAGATAGATGTCCTGATTCCCCAAGGTTGAGAAATAAACTAAAAAGGAGGGAATTGTAATCAACTCTATGAACAAATTTCAATGACCCCTATAATATTTTTTTTAAATGATCCTCTCCCTTAAGTAACTACTTGAACTTTTGAGCTGTTTCTCAGAAGTGGTGGATTTTCTGCAAGACAAAGGAGCTGAGATTCTGAAGGCCCCTGGGCAGAGTTCCTTACTAAGATTCACCATCCCCCACAACTTGCCCCCAATGTACATGGTAGTTACATGACCTACCCCAAGTTATGTGGTCCCTCCCTTAAAAGTCCATCATCTCTGTTAGTCAGGGAGATGGATTCAAGGCAGCTTCTCCCTTTCTCCCAAGATTTGGTTGTATTAAAAAATCCCTTTCTTCCTTGGCAATCCTCATTTTCTCAATAATTGGATTTTTGTGCACTGAGCAACTGGACCTAGGCTGAAATCTTAGTTTCAACAACACTGACAAGACATACAATGAGTGAATATAGGGTATATGGGCAGCTAAGTCTCCCTCAGGCTTGGCTCTAAACATATACAACACAATAATTTTAGTAATCACTACCATTTGTGAACTGCCTGTACTTCTAATATCAAGTGGTTAAGAATCAGTAAGGTCTGATTTGAATCCTGCTTCTGCCACTGAGTGACCTTGAACAAGTGATTACCTCTCTGAGTCTTGATTTCCTCATTTCCAAAATAGTCATAATAATACCTATTTCCTAAGGTTATTGTGAGGTCATCTCCATTTTACAGATTAGGAAACAGACGGTCTGGTAGAAGATTAATAACTTGCTAATGGATCACACAGCTTGCAATTGGCAGGTCTGAAATTCACCTCCAGGTCTCTTTGACTCCAGAGCCCAGATCCATTATCCCACACCACACTATTTCCTGGAGTTTTCCAAGGCTGCTGCCAAAGGGACTCTGTAGCCTAATAAGCAGCATGAGGCAGAAACAGGGTTTAGATATGTTCTCAGACCACTAACAGCTAGGTGAGAGGGCAGCAGTGGGATGCAAGCCATTTACTAGTGAACGCATAATCCGTAAGATATTTAGGTGGCTATATGCTGGGATAATTTATATTTCATGATAAATGATATATATTATAGTAGTTTGCATTCTGCAAGGTATAGTTTCAGAGACACCAATGGTCCCTTTGATCCTTAAACTCTTCGTACCCCTCACACACAAAATATAAGTGTGGAGTGCTAAGATTAGTGAGACATTCCTTTGAGTTATGGTATTATTCCAGCTGCTTCCAACCAAAATGCAAAAACCCTGAAACAAAAGCTAAGCAACTTATTTTTCATGTAGAATTAAGGATAATGAGACTATTCTTTCTGGAAATCAATTGTATTTTGGTTTCACTGCCTATTGAATATAGTATTTTGGCTAGTTTCTCAAGGTTAAGATTTCTAACTTCTTATCAAAAACTTTACTGCTACCTCAGAGAAGTGATCTCAGAAATGTGAATACTTGGTAGGAAAAGGGGAGGAATAGGATGGGCTACACAAAGGACAAAAAAAAGGTCCAAGTTGTCAACCATTGTTTTCAACATTCTAACGTTTTCTTTTCATTTGAAAAACTTCATTGTAAAGAAACAATGCCTGTTCTGAATCCTTAAAAACAAAAATCAAAAGACCTTAAAACAATCTTGAGAAAACTTGAAACAAGGCAAATTTTATTTTTTTTCATTTTTTCAAATTATAAAAATATGAGCATGTCAAAAATACAGTCTAGTCCACATAAGAGTAGTTCCAGCCGTTTAAAAGTTATACAGAGTTTGGAAAATAGCAATCCACAGACAAGTCTTAAAACATACAACAATCATGAACAATGCACAACCATTCAATTCTGTTATTGCTAGTTATATGCAGCTTTTACTTGAGATTGTTTTCCTTAAGGGAAGGGGCAGTGTTTGGGCATTCTGATTGTTGCTGTCAAAGCTGTGGTTTTAGAAAACCAATCCAAACTAAAGAATAAGCTCACTTTGGGTCGAATATAATGTGTTAAGTTTTGATCAGTGCTACAAGATGGTGTAGTCTAAATTTCAGTTCCACCCCTTTCTCTTATTTTAATTCTATTTTGTTAGTATATCAGAAATACAGTGTATAGTTTGGGGCAAGAGTAAATGAATTACTGGTTTTAAAATTAAATAGTAAGAAACATTAATTTTTGGTTGTAATGTAGAAACAAAGCTGGCATATCTAGCTTAAGAACATTAAAATGGAAAAGACATTAAAAGTTTAAGAAAAAACCAAAGCTTGCTTTTTTCTCTTTAGAAGTTGAAACATAAAATTTATCAATTTGTTCTTTTGAAGTTTATCATGAAGATCTGCTGTTCTCTATTTTCTCTTTAAAAAGACAATGAGTTAGCCACATAGCAGAAACATGTTTTAAAACAGATCTATTTGCTCAATGCCTTATAGAACAAATCATAGAATTAAATAATTAACCTAAATAATTAAGGGAAAGATAATGCAGTTGACAGCACAAAACACAGGGGGAAAAAAACTACTTATTTTGGGGGTGGGTAATACATGGGAAACTTTGGGCCTAAAGTTTACATGGAAGACTTAAAACTTAAGAGTGTCACAAAGAGATAGCAATGGCTTTATTTCCAACTTTTGTGTTAGACCCTGTTACAAAGGTAGGCTTATTGCTGACATTTTACCCCCCCACACAAGTTCTTGAATAAGTTGAGACGTATATTGGTCATTAAGTATGAGGTGAAGTGGAAAGACCTTAAAAAATAATTCTTAGAACAAAAGTGACATGCATGACAATTTGGCAAGGATACCTATTAACTTAGTGAGTTAAATCCTAAAAATAAGTTACATTTTTAGGAGGTAGAAAATAAGTACCAAAAATTTACCATTTGGCCACCCTTCTTACTTTTGGCTTCAACCTTGGATTTCTGTATTTCTCATTCCCCACCATTCTCCCATTAAAGCTATTCATTCTACTATCATATATTACCTAAATTTACAGACCTAGAGTTGCCAAGAAAAATCTTTTAAGATTTACTTTTAAGCCATCAAATGTACCCAATACGTAGGTTATCAACTGAGAACGTTTTATACCTCTCTAGTTGATTTAATTCACTTCGTAAGAAAACATGCCAACATAAAAAATTTAACAAAAGACTACTGAACATCTCTACATGTAATTTCAATATGGCAGAGAAGTTACGCAAACCTAAATTTGCACTGTTTTCATTGAACTGAATTGAAAAAGCCATATATTAAAAACTGCATTACCAATGCTAACTGAAAACAGGCATGTACTTTAAAAAACTACAAAATTAACCGAATAACCAAAAAAAAAAACACTCCACTTCCTCCCAGAGTTATGTTGTGCTGATATCCCATACATAGCATTATAAAAGGATTTTATTTTTGCGATAGGCTGGGTTCACAGTGAGTATGTTAAGTACGAAGATCACATGTTTGATATTACTATAAGAATGTCATTAGTGGAATGTATATAAGGCATGTAAAAAACTAGCATTAAAGCTCTTAAGGGCAATAATTCAAACTGGCAGCTGCTAGAAAAGGTGCTGCTAGGAATAAAAAATTATTAAAGAAATTTTGTCTCGGCGTATACTAATCTATAGTGCTTCTACAATAAAATGAATTAATTTCACATAAATTTCTGTTACTGGAACTAATGGACTGAAGGAGAATGGACTTTCCCCCTTTAACTAGTAGCCCAATCTTGAAAACGGAAGCAATCACTTGCAATCTTCCATACAGTGTTGTTAGGAGTGGACTGAGCAGTCAGCAGGAAGCTCTGGTTGAAGTAGTGTTGTTTGTTTCCATCAAACTTCACAGTTCCACTGGTCACGACAAGAACTGTAGTCTGGGACTGGGTAGCTTGCTCTTTATCCACAAACAAAAAGAGAAGAGGTCAGTTTGTGTCTTTAAATAAGATTTTCAGGCTTAATGTACATTGCTTATGACCTAATGGTAAAAAAAATTCATAAGGTTTCTTTACCTTGAGCATAATCTTAAGTATGCATATCCAAAGCCAGAAAACTAAATACTCATTCAAAGACACTAAAACTATTTTCAGTCTAGAAATATGTGGGGTACTCTAAAGTTTTAAAGTGAAGAGCTTATATCTAGCATAGGACCATTTGCTTCCCATATGAGTTAATATTTCATTGGGTTTCTAATAGAGCTTATTCGTGAAGTTACTGTTCTTTTCAAGAACTATAAAGGAAAAAAAAAAAATTACCCTAAACCGCAACTAAAGACACCGAGGGCCCCACCTAGAGGTTAATACTATAAACTGCATCAATCTATCTTAAATTCTATCTTGACAAAAGTCATCCTTTCACATAACAGACTAAAATTTCTGTGAAATTTTAATAGGTTGTAAGATACTGAAACAAATTAATCAGAGATATGTTATAATTTTTTTGTGGAGATATTTAAGGGCCCAGCAGGCAACTATCTATTTGGGGAAAATCGATAATCTTTCCTCTCCATTAACAAAAGTCACATTTAGTCTCAATTTCTCATACAACTCTTAATAAGCCATAATCACACAATCCATCAAAACCTACTAGTGGTTCTCTGGAGTGAGAAGCATCTAAAGGAAGACCAAAGGTCTGATTAGACACACTTGAATTTTTCCTAATATTTAACTTGCTCAAGTAAGTATTTCTATCACTAAAAGTTGCTTGCTGCTTTTAATGTAAAAGCTCAATGCTTACCAAAGGAAAACAAAGGAAATATCTTGAAAGACCATGGTCTTACCATGAACTGGTTGGCAATCTACCATGTTGACCTGGAACTCACTAGAAGGCAACATCTCAAAAAAATTAGTTAGGGCTTCCAGCCCTGTAACAACATTTCCATTCCATATTAAAGTGGCCTTCTCCAGATACAGCCTGGTTAGTGCCTAAGAAGAAAGAAAAATGTTTAAAAGGGAAAGGATTTTTTTGTAGGTAAGCATTTTATAGACACGAATTAAAAGATTACAGATGGTATATAAACATTTTCATGGTTCTACCTCCATCTTCTTTGTGAATGCCAGCTATAGCTGTGAGCCTTAATCAGAAATTATCTATATATATATGAAATAAAAAACAAATCAGGAAACATTTTCTATAATGGCTGACTCCTTCATTAGCACTAATACTAGCACTCCCCCCTTCACCCCCCTCTTCACTGGAAACCAATGTGAACAAGGTATCTGTCTTAAAATCTTGGCCTTAAATAGGTATTATCTTACTCTTTATAAACTAGGCAGTAAAATATATTTTTTCACATTTCACTTTAGTCACAATGAGAAAACCTTGCAAACCTGAGAGTTTTAAAATCTTACTTTCTGTATTAAAACGAATTAAATGATCACGAGTTCCAAGCACATGCAGCACCAAACCAGTTTTAATCTCTCTTCCTTCTCTAATTCTGAGAATTAATAAAGTTGTCAATCAATCCCTACCTGTACACTTTAATCCTCGTGGTTATAAACATGTGAATCATTTAATATCTGAATGTATTAGGAAGAATTATTTCCTCTTCTTACTACTCTATTAGCATACTTAGTTCAAAAGAATTGTGAGTACTTGCTAAAGCAGAGCTTTTAGCAAGTCAATTAAGTTAAGGCCCAAATGAGGAAAACATTGAACAGTTAACTCTTTGGGGTCACAGGACACATTATTTGCTTAATTCTAAAATTTAACTTGGGTTAAAAGACCAACACATTACCTTGTCTTTGGTAATGAACTATGTCGCCTTTATTTGCTACTTTATTTTTGAAAACAGCAAGGCATGATAAACATTCAAGACAAGACACAATAAACATCTATTGTTACATCTTTTGTCCCTGTCAACAAACATCAGAACAAGGAATTTCTTTTATCTTCTGCCTTAAAAACTAGGTTTTTGGAGATACGGTGTTAACTTTTGCACATGCAGGATAAAAGAAGTTCTCTAAAACACAGTCCTACGCTGGTGAGAAACCTAGGCGAGACTCCCTAGGCAATGTACTGAAATAATTACTTAGAAGATATGGCTCAGGGATAAATCACTATGAAAAAGCTGATGAAGTGAAATCTTGCTCTACTGAAGACTAAAAGTATCCAAGCTCTGCGGATACTCTTTGTGAATGCCAACTATAGTTGTGAGCCTTAATCAGAAATTATCTATAAATATATGAAATAAAAGGAGCAAATCAGGAAACATTTCCTATAATGCCTGACTCCTTCATTAGCACTAATACTACTTTAACCACATTGGTTAAATGATGGGACTAAGAAAGGGTAATATATTTAAATATTTAAGTAAATATATGGTGGACCGCATGTTAAGTGCAGTATTTAAATTAATTCTTACTTGCCACCCTAAAAATAAAGTTAAGAGAAGTTAGCAACTTACCCCATGACAACGAACTAGGTAAAGGTAAACCTGGGCTATGACTCCAGGTCCCATACTTCCAGTAATACCATTCCAATCTTTCCCTAAGCAATTTGCTTTTAAAGAACAAGTCCACAGTTACCACTATGCAAGTTAGATGAATGGCTGGCTCAAAACAACTGGTATTTAATAAAGAGTAGTAGAGTCTATAACACTCACCCGTCTTCTTTTATCCATTGTCTCATAGTAAATATTAACAAATTCCTCAGCAGCTCTACATGCTTGATCTACATAAGTTTTAAAATCCTACAAGAAAAATTTCAGAAGTGTAGATTACCACTCCTCAAACCTCACAAAGACAAAACCACCAACAGAAGCTGGTGATTTATTTCAACCACTATAATTACACAGTCTACATTCTTACATACAAATTTGGAGATTTTAAAGTTTAAGGCTTAAAAGTTTCCATTTTATTAAATTTCCACTATTTTTAGGTGTATGTCTTTAGGGCATAATCATCTCAATGAATTTTACTTTTTCTCACTCTTCACATATAAATTTATAATCTTTGGTTGGCAGCTAAGTACTTTAGACTTTCAATATTTTACAAAACATTTACCTTAATAAAAATGAGCCATATAGACCTTAAAAAGGGGGGAGGGGGTGGAGAAATTTACCACTGAGTAAGCTTGAAAAGTGTTGAGTTTTCTTTTCAAACAAGAAGTTACGACCAAACTCCAAAGTTGTCGAATGGAAAATAAAAAGCATAATATGAAAGAAGTTCAACTACTTGAAAAACTAGGCAGCTCCACTTAGGAAACTTTCTCACATTACGTAAACAGTCACCGGTGTTTGTAAAAGAATTGTAAAACGAAGAAAACTTGGGGTCCGCGCAAGACTGAGGAATAAGTACCTTCTCCCCCATTTACCGGCCCGGTCTATTATTTGAATTAAGAAGAATGAATCGCCCGTTTAGTTTCTTTCTCAGGTGGTCGAAAGTGATTTTTAGAGAGGAAGATAATCAAGAGAAGGAGATTGAAAGCCATAAACAACAGACCCCAACACCCAGCCTCTCACTACTCCCCATCTCACGGTTCTTTCTGGGACCGAAACCGGCCACACACCAGAGGGTAGATGGGGGCGACTGGGCGGGCAGCACAGTGTGGGCCCCGCCCCGCGCCCGGCGAGCCAGGCCTTGATTCGCCACCCGCCCATGTGACCGGCAGCCAGCCCGCCCTGACACCCCTCCCCTCAGCCGCCCAAGCTCTGGCGCCCAGCCGCCCTGCCGCAACCGGGGTACTCACCATAGACGTAGCCATCGGTGTACCCGAAGTAATCTGTTCCGGCAGTGGCGGTGTCACTCCCTCTTCACGTGTCGGGCTCCCTTGGCTGCGGAATGATCAAATATTTAGGAAGAGAGCGAAACCCGCCAAACACGCATAATTTTCTACCCGCCCATTCTTTCCCGGAAGTAGCTTGGTCCGTTTTTAAAAGCACCCCGATGCTCCAACCTTAAGTGACACCTTCCTTCAGTTCCGACTGATCCCTCCCATCCGCCTTATTTATCTAGTTGTTTGATATTTACTAGCTTAGTTAAAAGAGAAAAAAGAACACTTTGCCTTGGCAAACAGTATACTCAAAACCAAAGTAACCCGATTTTCCAGCGATGCACTCCGGTACAAGCTAAAATGAAAGGTTCCAACTAAGAAGATTTCTTTGCTCCAGGAGGCGGAGCGAAAGCCCACTGAAGACCAATGAGAAACGCAAGGAGACCTACTAGATCCCTATAGGCTATAGGAAAAGGGGGTGGAGCTTCGGAAAAGGCGCTCGATCATATTGCGCATGACTGGTAGAAAACAGTTTGGCTTTCTGGAACATTCTTGAAAAATTGATCCTCGATGAATTAAAGTGCGATATCTCCACAGTATGCCTGAAATTATTCACTATTTGATTTTACACTAGCCATATTCAATAGAAAAGCCTCATCCAGTTCATTCTGGAATGTATTTTTAAATCTTACGGACCACAAACAAAAATTAGTTTACAGTGCCATTCTCTACCTTTTAACGGCTACTTAGTTATCCCTTAAAGTACTCTAACTAAAATGTGAGTGGGGACCATGCGTAAGGTACTCTTCTAAGCAGTTTTACATATATTCACTTATTTATAATAACACCGAGGTAATTGCTATTACTTTAGCCTCTCCCTTTTACAGCTAAGACACAGTGAATCTGCCCAGAGTCACAAAGTAGTTGACATTTGGGTTCAAACAGCATCAACTATCATGGCAATCTGGCTTCGCGCCTCCCGTATCCCTTAAAACCCGCTCACCTCAAAGCCACCAACGACACTTATTTGATTGTCAAATTAATTAGAAGTTGCTGCAGTCTTTTTTTTTTCTTTTTCTTTTTTTTTTAATTTCAGCATATTATGGGGGTACAGATGTTTAGGTTAACTATGTTTTCCTTGCCCCCCCCAAGTCCGAGTTTCAAGCGCGTCCATCCCCCGGATGGTGCGCATCGCACTCATTGTGTATGCGTATATCAGTCCCCTCCTCCCCCCTCCCCCTGCCCAACATCCAATAAATATTATTCTTATATGTGCGTTTATGTGTTGATCATTTAATACCAATTCGATGGTGAGTACGTGTGGTGCTTGTCTTTCCATTCTTGGGATACCTCACTTAGTAGAATGGGTTCCGTTGCTGCAGTCTTACCATGACTGGTTGGTGTGTGGCTCCTCATGATGATGACTGTCACTCTTTCCGTGGTGTTTTCCTATGTCTCCCTGAGACCCGTCTTTTTTGAATTTTTCCATACTTTCAATCTTACTGTTTTTCTGGCTCTCTTCCTTTTAGTCTGTCTAGCTCTAACTGTAACTGTTTCTCAACGTATCCTCCTCCCTCCTCTGCCGGCTTCGGAGTGACGTCACTTGCGTCGTGTCTCCCGCGTTTAAGGCCTCCCTCCGCCACGTGACCTCAACTGCCACTATATGCTAATGAGTCTCAAGAACCTGCCTCCGGTCACCGCTGCTTCTGTGAGCGCCAATTACACATATGGATTTTGCTAAACATGAACACTGGCATGCACTATAGGCTTCTCAAACCCATTAAGTCCAAAATTCAAACTCATTATTTCCTCTGCACTTCCCATCTTCTGTATTTTTTCAGTCATCTATGCCTGAATTCTTGGAATCTTTTTTTTTTTTGCTCTCTCCTCATTGTCATAATTCATAATTCCTGTTCATTCAACAAATATTTCTTATTTATTATGTGCCAGGCATCGTGCAAGTCTCTGGCTATAGAGTGGTGAACAAAATAGATATGATCCATATCCTTATGAAGCTTACAGTGGAATGGGAGTGCTAGACAAGAAACAAAACATTAATGAGTTACGAAGGAATTCTAAGTAACTTGTCTAGTTCTGCTCATTCCCTAAAGAAACCCCCACTCCTCCCTTTCTCCCTCGACTTCCTCCCTCTCTCCTCCACCTCCTGCACTCTCCCCTCTCCTTTCCTCTCCCCTCCTCTCCCCCTCCCTCCTTCCTTTTCTCCTCTATATACAAACTTGGATCACTCTAGTCTCTTTTTTTTCCCCTCAAAATTCTCCTAATATTTAAAGACCTACCTTGGTATGGTCTCAATTTACTCTTCCAGACTTCTTTCCCAAATTCACCAACAATGGCAAAGTTAACTACTACAGTTTGCCAAAAATGACTCATGTTTACTGCTTTATTGGTGATTGTTTTTCTTGACTTAGAGCTGTTATTTTATATCCGCAGTCCCCAACCTTTTGGCACCAGGGACCTGTTTCATGGTAGACAATTTTTCCACTGACGAGGTTGTGGGGGGAAGTCAGGCGGTGAGGCGAGCGATGGGGAATGGCAGTAAACACGCTTGCTGGTACGCCACTCACCTCCTGCTATGTGGCTTCCCGGTTTCATGGAAGACAATTTTTCCATGGATGGGATGGGAAGTGGGGGGGAGGCATGTGGCAGAGCCCCTAACAGGCCACGGACTGGGGGTTGGAGACCACTGTTTTATATGACTTCATTCAATCCTCACGACCCCTAGAGAGGGGGACGTTATTATCCCAATTTTTTTTTT